TCGGTGTGCAGAAAAAGTGAAAACTTTGTTTTCAACTTTATATATTATAATTATTTAGAAATATTTATTTATATCAAATAGCAGGCGTTTTGATAGTTATCATTATAGCTCTTTAGTTGGCTTCAGGCTTCACAGAGGGGAGGAGGAACATCAAAGTGAGAAGAAGGTCGAGAGGGGAGGGAAACATAAGTGTTTTAATGTTTCAAAGATGTAAGAGACAAACACAAAGGTAGAAGAAAAGTGGGGTGAGTACTGTGGAAATGGTCAAATATGGCATAGAGTGAGGTGATGTTAGTTTGAAGTGAGAAATCAACTGCCAGTTAATAGACTTTTTTGTCGTATGAATATACGTTGCGTAGGGTGCACCACGTGGATGTAAGTCTATCGCACACCCCTTATTTAGAAATACTGATGTCAAGATTTGATTAAAGTGTAGCGAGGCTTAAGAAAATTGCAATGGTTGGATGTCCACCACTGAATTTGACCGATGAATCGTGACCTAGTGATCTTCAACCTACCTGATGTTTACGATGTTTGCCATACCATGAATGCTCAATATTTTGAAGTTATTATAGCGAAGCATTTTGCTTTTGAGTATATGCAAATTAGAACACTTGTTTTATGCCAGCAGATTAGCACTACCTGCTGTACTTACAGCTGTATAGTAAGCTTAATCCTTTTTTGTTTTAATTCGGAGGGGACTGTTGTTTCTAAAACAATGCTCAATAATCATATGCTCGGCACTATGTTGGCACATTCCTAAAGCTCTTCAATTTGTACTTTCTCCTCCTAAATATAGGAAGTGAGAAGTGATTTTTTATTTTCCTTCTTTTTGAGTAGTTCAATTGGAGTGAGCATAAATTCGATTAGTAAATGAAATAATGATGCCTGAGCTCGCAAAACTTTTCAAATTATGAAATTACTCATTACTCTTGGCATCTTATAATCGTTATAATTATTTTTAATATTAGTCAATCGGCAAAAATAGTTATTTATTTATATCAAATGGTAAGTTTTATGATAGTTATCGTTGGCCCTTTAGTTGACCTCGGTCTAACAGAGGGGTGGAACGTCAAAGTCACAAAAGGTCGAGAAGGGGAACAGTAGAGAATGATTCACAAATGTAAAAGAGACAGACAGACACAAAGGTAGAGGAAAGGAAAGGTGAGTACTGTGAAAGTGGTGGAATATGGTATGCAATGGGGTCATAGTGGTTTGAAATAAGAAGTCAACTGCTGGTTAATAGACTTTTTTACCGTGTGAGTATTGTGGGACACGTTATCGCTTTGTGCGTCATCGCATGTCTGCACGCCTGGATTTGGAGGTGCGCCTACAACTCTGTGCAGCGATCGTACAAACAGTGGCCAATCAGTAGCCTCCGTTTGTTTAACCTAATCCGCCATCCTGATCATGATTAGCTCCCTGCGTGTACACTTTACTCACAATAACCGTACTGAATAAACGTGTTCCGTGCTATACGTCTGTTTCCTTTATAGCTGGGCTATAGCTTAGCTTGTTCTGGGAGTCTAGCTAGATGTTAGAGAATCTGCCATAGAGATTTCTGAGTCAGTCAGGCTTTACTAAGGTAGCAATCCGCTACAGTGCACAGAGCATATGAGTATACATTGGCCATTGTACACCACGTGGTGGTAAGTCAGTCGGTCACCCTGCTGGTAAAAATATCGGTAAATGAATATTGGCACTGTGCACGATTCGGTATTTCCATTTAAACCGGCTCAAATAATTCATTTTAGATAGTAGCTAAAAATAATTATTTTCCCCATAGGGCGGGTTTAAATAGTTCATATTTTTGTTGAGGCAAAACAATTATATGGGAGGGGCGGCAGGCAGTCCAATTTGAGTTAAAGAAGAGGAGGCCGAGTAGAATCTGAGAAAGAAGTCAGAAATTCATTTAGTTTTCAATCTAATTCGTAGGAATTTTTACTTATTGACTATATCTGATCAACTTCTTACCTTTCGGACACAAGGTTTTTCAGTGCGATTTTAGCCTCAAGAGCAATCCTTATTAAGAAAAATTAAATGCACTTCAATGCTCTAATCGTAAAGCACCAGTTACTTAGACGCTGTCGATTCGACTCTACTCTTAAAAAGCAAGTTTAACAAAGAAAAAAACTTTTTAAACTCTCTGTCATTGGGACATTTTGATAGTCAATTACGCTGTAGAGGACGCAACGCTGTCGTGACTGTGATAAAGAAATCTCCAGCGCACTCGGACAAACTCGAAGGTGCGGACGTGCTACCTGCACGTAAGAAGAGACCTCCCAGCCAGCCATCAATCAATTGTCCCGCATTGCTAGGCGAATCCTTCATGGTATGTTATGACTAACACTTTTTGGCAAACCCGCATTCCAAATATCTCCCATATCGTACGGTTTTGTAAAAAATCTCCGAATTATCCACCAGAGAACATCTGCGGGTTACTAGGGCGTAAGTAGGTAATATTAAAAGCAAAGAAGTATTGGGGTAGCCGAATCCAATTTCTTTGCAGAACAACTTTCAATCATCTTGAATTAAGTGATTTGATATAGAAGTCAAAGAAGCGATTGGACACTGCCAGCTTTTCAGAAGCCTCGATGCGCCTTCATGTAGTGGATGTAGTGATTCCCGAGAGAGAGAGGTGGCATAATGCGAATGTTTGCACTAGATCGGCTCCAGGTCACCTTCCTCATGTTTGGGATAAGTTTTGAAGTGTTCGCAAATAATTGACAAAATTTTAAATCGGGATATATTTTTTTGCGAGTGCATTGGTTATCATTACCCGAATCAACACCGCTTTGTTATTCCGCTGTTATGGCAAATAACATGAAAAATAGTATGTATAGTGGCGTTGACAACGGAGTTACCAACGCACACTCGGAAAGTGCTTTCATTACTTGATTTGAGCAGTAAGTAGTAAGTTTGAAATTGCCATTATGAAAAATTCGTATTGTGTTGAACAAAATAGTTGCTAATTGCATGGCTGACCTCACCCCTAAATCAATCAACGAAGGGACCCTGAATATCGTGGACATGGTCCCACCGGGGGAGTCAATTAAGTGAATTCGGACAATACACTTTGGACTGTGCTAACTACTAGAACATGAGCTGTTTTCAATGATTCTAGAACTCCCAGACTTGTGATATCCTAAATTCAATACCTGCTTCTGCTGACTCCCTCCACTGTTACACAACTTATTGATCACTTTCACTGTTTCCCACAAATCTGATGCCTTACTCGTTGATGTTCATAATAAGGGGTGTGCGATAGACTTACTCCATGTGGAGCACTCTGGGCAACGTATACTCGTACGGCAAGGAAGCCTATTTGCCGACAGTTAACTTCCGACTTCAAACTACCATGACCCCACTGTATGGCATATTCGACCGCTTCCACACAGTACTCACCTCACCTTTTTCTACCTTCGTATCTGTCTTTACATCTTTAAAACACTCTTCTCTTCCCCCTCCCTCCCAACTTTTTTTACTTTGATGTTCCTTCCCGCTATGAAGCCTGAGGTTAACTAAAGGGCTAATGATGACCATCAAAACGCCTGCCATTTGATATAATAATAATGTTCATAATAATTACAGCAGACTATATTTAAGCACAGCTTCAAGTAGCTGCTACGTAAAAGATATTTATTTATTTATTTCAAATGGCAGGCGTTATGATAGGTATCATTAACCCTTTAGTTGACTTCAGGCTTCACAGAAAGGAAGATAAACAGTAAAGTGGCAAAACGTCGAGAGGAGGACAGAATAATGATTCACAGACGTAAAAGAGACAGACAGACACAAAGGTAGAAAAAGGTGAGGTGAGTACTGTGAAATTATTCGAATATGAAATGCAGTGGGGTCTTGGTAGTTTGAAGTCAGAAGTCAACTGCCGAATAATAGACTTTTTTGCCGTATGAGTATACGTTGCCCAGGGTGCACCACGTGGAGGTAAGTCTATCGCACACCCCACGTAAAAGATATCATTTTAAAGAAAACCAAAATTTAATAAAAAATAATGAAGTTGACAATCGGCCAACCGAGAACAAATATAAACAAAAATGGCTTAACCACACCACGATATCAAAACAAACATCCACCCTCATAAAAAAACAGAAGTCCATTGAATACACTAAAGCTGAGACTCCTTTTCGAACGAGCACATTGCGGGATCCAGTTTTTTATTAGAAAATCAGTGTGAAGGGACAGGGCAGGTAGTAGGGGTCTATAAATCTCGCAGGACGACAGGAGACTCGTTCACACACATGAGTATATATTTTCTCATTTACTCTTGCTCATACATTTGACAGGCGATGGGTAGAGATAGAAGATTCGGGAAGAAGTGAGACAGAGATTTCACAAGCACACCACACTTAGAGCGCCAAGAGAACGAGAGGGGGAATAATGAGGGAGAGAGAACAGAATACAAGTAGGTAAAGGGTGTGGAAAAAGGGGGAGGTAAATCTAACTGAGAGAGGCAACAATAGTTTGTCGTTCTTTCTCAGACAGTTGGGACATACAAGCCTCAAAGACTGACGAATTGCCTTGAATAAGCCGAAGGATTGCAACACAACGATCATACACTACTGGTGCGGATTTTGAGCCATTGACGGTATGTTGCTGGTCACCGGCAGCTACCCCGGCGCCCTCTTCTTCTTCATTTGATTTAGAAAGACCCTTCTCGGAGAATACTCGAGCAATTGCAGCCACAATTCGTGGGAGATTGGTATTTGAAGGACCACCAAGAACAGCAGGATTGTTCGCCTCAACCAAATCGCATAAGTAGCCATAAACATGAACTGTCTCCTCATCGTCTTCCCAAATTGGCAACCATGTGACCCAACGTGCGATTAGAGAATCCATATCACCTAGACCAGCAGGAGCCAAGGCCTCTGGCCGATACTTCATAATCTGAAAGAAAACATAATCCACATGGAAACAATTATAACAGTCTAATAAACACACACAACCAGAAGGAAGCTCACCTTTGTCATGGATGCGACAGCATTCTCACGGCACATGTTATTTTCATCGCTGCTAGATTCAGGAGACTCGATTATTTGAATTAGCGGTGGCACAAAATCAGTCAGAGTTGGTACATAATTTTCACAACCAAACATAGCCATAACACCGATAGAAAAGATTGCCGTCTGCCTGATAGAGTTTTGTCTGTGCATAATAGCACGTGCAATGGCAGGAATGAAGAAGTCCTTCATGGCAAAGGACTGAGGACCACCGCACTCAATCAAGTCAGCGATAAAGCACAGACCCCACTCCAAATCAGACCATGGACGGTTGGGTTCCAGGAGTTTAACAACATGAACCATAAGTTGTTGGAAAAGAGGAAGGGCTTCGGTCTTGTAAGTAGAGAAGATTGCCCGCATAACTTCGCACATTTTTGAGAGGACGTACTCGTCTTCGTCTTTTTCGTTGAGAATTCTCTCTTCTTCCTGTTCATCGTAATCTTCATCCTGTAAAGAAAGGCAAATAAATCCTCTTTAACCAAAGATAAAAGGAAATGAAAATTCATTTTCTGATATACACCTGTCGTTTAGCAGCTCTTTCTTCATCCTTTTCAAAATGCTCATGAAAGAAACGATCCAGAAGTCTATGAATTTCGGTCATGCGCTCAAAATTGAGATAGCCAACGCCTAGGTTCTCGATACAACCAGCTAGCGATTCCAATAACTCAGCAACGATTTCCCGTTCGGGTTCAGTAGAAATAGCTTCAATTAGTTTGCTGAAAACCTTATCCCAGGCGCCAGCGATTAAGTCGGGTCGAGACTTTTTCATACTAGCCATAAGATAAGGCATAATTTCAGCAGCAGCGCTACGAATCTCATCGTTGAGACACAAACTGAGCAGGGGGAGCATTGTGTTCAGGACCTCTTCACAATAAGGAGCAAAACTATCCTTTAATTCACGAGCATAGCAGACGAGCATTTGACAGGCAGTTGCCTTATCCTCAAGAATGCTAGTTCTAATAGCACAGTTCTGATCTTCTCCAATGGACAGAATTTGCCAAGACTCAGGATCGAATGACTCAGCTTCCTCGTCATCTAGAACGCAAACTTTAGGCGCCATACGTGCTGTTTTTAGCACTTGTGGCATTACTGTTGGCAAGAAAGGCTCAAAGGAACGTCCCATGAGTTTGCAAATACGAGCCCAAGCTGTGATAATGTAATTAACTTGCGGATCGTCATCATCAAATTGATCCTCATTTGAACCTTTACCAGCACTTTCCCCACCAATAGCTGTTTGAGTCTTCATGAAGAGGGTCATAATTGAATTGGCATCCTGCATAAATTTTTCCTTTCCGACGGCCAAGACAATCAAACTAATGCATTCAATTGTCTTACCACGAAGAAGTCTCAAGTCAGGATGAATCGCGTTCTCCATAATGTACTTCAAACCCGGCATGAATCTAAAAGGACGCAACAAACATAAACAATGGTATTTATATATTAAAGAATAACAAATTCATAAGTACGAAATGCTTACCGATCGTAGTACGGAGCAAAGTTTTCCCCAGATGCATCTGCTACAGCAGCAATTGAAGTAACAGTTTGCAAAAGGACCAACTTGTGTCCTTTTTCAACCATTTCGTGAAACTTGGCAGTCATTACTTCTTGTAGTTTGTTAACAAGATCATCGAGATAGGTAAGCAAGACACTCTGAAAATCAAGTATATTTAAAATAAACATTTAAAAAGCATCAACGGCCATTTAAAATGGAGTAATTTACCTTCATTGATGTTTCACAACAATTAACCAAAGCTGCTCCTGCATTAGCCTGAACGCGTGGGACTTTATCGTCGAGGACATGCATGATAGCTGGGATGATAGCAGAATGGTAGTTCTTTTGGAGTTTAGGCCCGAAATCAGCTGCCATTTGTCCAATAGCATTGCAGGCAGCATACCTGACACGAGGTTCAGGATCAGCCATACGTGGAATAACAGCTTGAATGATAGAACCCAGCATACCCTCCATCTGCTTGTGACAACCCTCTCCACAAGCCGAAACAGCCATAAGACCAGCATGACGTTTTCTCCAGTCCGGATCTTCCAACATGATCGGAACAGTTTGAGTGATCTCATCCAATACGACTTGGGAAACCATAGCACAAGCAAACCGATCCAAAGCCATCTCAGCAGTAATGGCATTGCTATCTTCTTCATCCTCCTCTGGAGTATCAGCTGTCGCCCAATCGGGATCATCTTCCAGTTCAGTCATCATTTGAAGGAGGGTTCGAACGAGAGGTCTAATCATTTCCTTGCCCGCTTTACGAACACCTGAAGGGATATTCTCTGCCAGTGTTATAATCACCTCTAACGCAATGTGGCGGATTGGGTCAGAGAGATCGGCATTACAGAGAACTTTGTAGCAGAGTTCTAAAGTGACTTGAAGGTAGGGGCGAATAAATTTAGGAGTGGATTCTGCCATTTCAACCAAACATTTAAGCATTGTGTCATCTTCGGAATCAGATTCCAAGTTGGCTGCGATCGCCTAATCAAAACAAAAAAACTTGATTAATGTGCCCAATGGACACTATACGCCTATAGAACACAATGAAATAATGCTTTGGCACCATATTATGGAAACAACAATTGACCCGAAAACAATGTTTTAACTGGGTTAATAGGAAACAAAATCTTGAAAATATTACTCAACTAAACAAAAAGAGCAAAGTACGACAAGATCATATAAAAAACACAAATTTTTACCATCAGAGCGGGTTGAACAAGATCCCTGAGAGAAACTTGAATGGAGTTTTCGGAGGCATTATGGACAAGAAAAGCAGAAAGTGCGCGGAAGCCAGCTTCACGAACTTTAGGATCGGCATCTTGAAGAGCCTGACCAAGCATGTGGCCAATGTCGGTCAGTAATTTTTTTGGATCGGGTCCAAAAATGGCTGGTACAATAGCAAAAAGATGACAGCCTATTTCACGAAGACCCGGTTCGGGAGATTTGAAACATTCGAAGATGAAAGGTTGGAATTCTCTCCATTGACAAACGCCATCGTCGTCTACAAGAAAATCGAAGCCATTGAATTTCTAAGTTCAAGTTATAAATAATTGATAGGGATAGAGGAACTTACCGAAATGTTCACGAACTAATTCTGCAGCAACATCGGCAATTTTACGACGCATCAAATTAACGGGTTCATTTACAATTGCCACTAATAGCTGCTGTCTAATTTGGTTTTTAGTATCTTCTGGTAAAGGACCAAATGCTTCTTCACAGTCATTCATTAATAAGCGACGGCACAAAACAGCCGCTAGGGTTCGGGCCTAAAACACAGAAGCGCGAAAATTAAGAGATAAAATAGACACTTACACTAGTGACCAATGAAGAATCAGTCATTGATTGCAAAAACAAACTGAGTCTCTCCGTAGGAGAAATATTTCCAAGAGCACTCTCAGCTTCAGTTCGCGTACCATGATCCACACTTTGCAGCCGCTCCAGCAAATTTTTGAATGTTGCGACATCCATTTTATACAATGAAGACAGTATAAATTGTGCTGAGGTAGATTAAAAATCAGATTTAGAATATAAATAAACTGTATCTGGAAAAGGTGCAATAAATATGACACAATTAAAGTGATGCAGAATCGGAACTATTTTAAAAAAAATTAAAATCAATGAATTTCAGCAAATTGGAATTCTGATTAAGCAAATAAATGAAACATGGAAAATATTACAACAGTTCTTCTAGGTAGGTAAATTAAGGAAGCGGTACAAGTGACATGCACACCAGAAGCACACTTACATACCAAACCCGAGAAGCAAAAGTGGTGGACTACTAAAACAAAAGATGTAAATAGATTGGTTGAAATTAACAAAGATATACCTAATTCATATGAACTGTATTCATTCAACTAGGAAAATTAGCACCGCCTTATAAATATTCAAATTGGTTTTAAACTTTTCAAAACTATTTTAAATAAAAAGTACATTTACATACCTCAAATAAATCCAATCTCGATATAATGAAATGGAATAATTAAATATTTCGTGTCACTTATGTTAGATTTATAAGTCCATTCGTTTTACTAAATTTTAATTTGTTTCTACAATATATATTTTTGATTCTTTCATCATTACCTTTATTATTTTAGTTCAGGTAGACTTTCCTTTATCCTTAAAAATCTTAACCCCCCCCCATTTTTACAGATAGCGTTTTTTCATATAAATCCATCCCAATATGCTCAAGACTTCATTCCACATCTACTGAGCTCTTCAGACATCGTACTGTTCAAAACTGCAAGTTACTTACTACTGAGAGTGATAATAAATTAAGATAGAACTATAAAGCTTTAAATCGACGTTCGATTTTATTGAGTGAGTCGTTGAAATGTCTGCTCAAAGACTCTTACATAAATCGACCAAATCTAATTTAACGAGAGTTGAGAATTCATTACAACTCTGTATTTTAAATGCGATACTTACTACTGCTTATTATTTAAGCTCATAGATGCATACTTATGGGACCACTGTTTAATTTTTCAGTGTTTTAATGGAATTTGGATATACTTCTGTTATTCTTCTTAGTTTTTGAGACTATGCCAAATTAACATAATCAATAAAGTAAAAATATATTACTCACTACTATTTTATTAGAATTTATTTACTCTTTTGGCTACGAGCTATAATCTGCTAAAATTTCGATAACTTAATTTCATAATACTACTAATGAAATTGAATTTCGGCATTTATTTCTTGTCATCAATTTACCAATTTAATAAATGGTAAATTGAAGGAAACAACAGTGTTTGGAAAATTTGCCTTAGCATTACTTTGTGGGTAATGCTTTAACGTTTATCCTCTTCCTTTCCGAGTTGCCAAACAATACGCTTCGAAGGTGATTTTGATCGTTGCTAAATATAATTGCAAATCAGTAAATATCATCAAATTTATATACTACGGCAATAAAGAGCTTACGTTTATTGTGTTTTCGATACTACTCACGGAGCTTCTGTTATCGCTAAAGGCACTTTGAGTTGTACTACTGTAGGAAGTTAGACTTTGGTTCGATGTGTTTCGAGATTCTGGCTTTACGAGGAGCTCTGCTAACATTCGGTTAACATGCGATGCTATAGTGCTGTCACCTCTGTTCACTCTATTTGTTGTCCCATATGCGGAAGTTACAGGTCCGGTAGTTTCCTCCAAATCGCTATAAGTTGTTGAAGGCATGGATTCTGGTAATTGGCTAAGGCTTCGTCTGACACTGGTCCTCTGCAACTATAATGCATAATTATCATTTAAGTTAAAATCCTATAATATCTTTACTGAGGTTGTAGAAAGTGCAAATTCGTGTAATTGTAATAATATGAAATGATTTTTTAATGCCATTATATAAAGTACTGACATTTCTTTTGAACGGGGTAGATAAAATCACGCTCCTAATGCGTTTGAATATTTTTTAATCTGCTCATTAGATAAACACCGAAAGCGAAGAATTAAGGCAAAATATTGTTTAAAAACCAATGTGCGTGCAAATGGTATTTGATCAATTTATTTGAAAAAATTAAGTGAATTTATTACCGGTGCTTATTAAAAATTATCATGTTCAATGGCTTTACAAGATCTAACACACTGTTAATTATCCTCGATATTTCAGACCCTCATGATTTGCATAATTATTTCGGAAACGCATTTCCGGGCATCTAATTTTGAGTTTTTATTTTTGCAAGCATTTGTGTTCTAATCAGCATAATAAACAATATTTATATCAAATAGTGAAAAATGAACTAGAAATGAAAGATCCGTTACATTTTAACTTACTCCCAAACTATCACTGTGCTCAACTGGTAACGATAAATTCCTAGATCGACCATTTTGCTTCTGCGTAGCAACTCCGGTATCATATACTGCACTCTTTCGTTCTTCTTGCACCACTCTTGAAATAGCTCTCATACGCCCAGTACCTATAATAGCATCAGGCTCTCCATTTCCATGCTTCTTTTCTTTCAAACGCTCCTCCTTGAGGAGCATTTTCTCAGTTTGAATGGCCTCGGGTTGCCCTTGGAATACATTCCACCAAAACCATAGTAGTACCGATAGTATGAGGTGATAAAATGCATTTCCAAAGAACAGAAGAAGGAAAAAGGCGGAAACAAAAGAGATACCAGCACAGAGGCCCAGGGTACCTCCAATGCTTGCCATTAAGGAGAAGAGGGAACTAGTTAGTTCTTCATTCCACGTATCTACGCGAGCGGAACGCAAACGGATATCAATAATAACTATGTTCTTCCCTTCTGTGAAGTTCATTTCTCCTTCCTTGCCCTTTTCCAACATCTCTGTCCACTTCCTGTGAAGAGGAGTACCATAATCCAACGTTGAGAGATTAAGATCCATCATGTGCTTCGTTAATAAGGGAAGTTTCAACGTGAAGTTTTGGTTTATCTCCCATATTTCGATGTTGTGTGCCTGGTAGTGCATCTGTATTTCAAAATCAACAGTTATTTTTAATTTTTGATACAGTTAACTTAAAAGATTTGCATGGTCTACTCACTCTGATTTATTTAAATAGTTCCTAAATTGAACTAAACTTCCTAAGTCACTGACTTCATAAAATCCACTTGAAGAGCAGATTTAGGTAGGTTTATAAGAAAAATCAAAACCCATTCCTCATTTGGATAAAAGGACTTATTCAGAAAACTTGTACAATAAGTCGAAGATTATTGTAATATTACCGATTTAAAACAACATCTAAATGCTTTAAGTAATTCAGGTTTAAGGTCTCATAAGAGCAAATAAATTAGGTGGAATAAGTTAATATAATAATATAAAGAATGTAATAAAATCATAAGTCATTTAAATTTTTCGGTAAAATCTATTCGAAATTACTAAAGGATTTTCCCCTTCAAATCTAGATTACGTAACCAGAGTCAATATTATTAATGTCATTATTTAAGTGGAGTTATAACCAACTAACCTTCTCGCAATTGACAGGACAAACGTCTTGACGCAATTTCTTTCTCATATCCGGATTATTTTTAGACTCCCACAACTGATCTGGATTTATATACGCATCAAGGACACTGGAGGTTGGTAGTCTGCTCAGCCTATCGTGACATTCGAAATTAGAGTGTACCTGTTGTGATGTTCTCGAATGTAAACCTCTGCAGAATTCAATTTTCAGCTTTGAAAGATCTAGAACTTTTGGTACTCCTGTAGCCTGTGGGTCATCATCAGGTTCAGGATTATGTGGAACTTGGAGAAGATCTGAATAGCAACCACAGGTTTCCAATATATGCGATTGCTTTCGATTAGCGACACAGTCTTCGTAGGTGTATTGGTATTCCAAATATTTTGTCTCTCCACCGAAACTGGAATACCTTTTAAAACAAAATTGCAATATCAACATAACGTAGTAGAAAAGTGTCACACCCCTAACATTCCTTAACATTTACCTGTAGGGTGGTGGTGATGCATAGCACTTTTTGTTGCCCTCGTTTGACGATACAGATTGGAGGCCATTGACCTGAACTCTGGCAATTTGACCAAAGTGGACGGCGAAGCTGGTTGCTACACCACTGATTTCATACCCGGGAAAGGTTCCAGGACTGTGCAAGAAAACATTTACTCCATCATATTGTGGAGCATCAAACATTCGACTCTGAAATAATGAAGAACTAATTAATTATAAACCTATTTGTTTTATTTACTATTGCATAAACAAAGCTCATTTTGGCTTGAACTGATTTTTATATTATTATTTGATGAATTTTCGAAAAGTGTTTAGCCAATAATATTGGAAACAACATTCTTTTAATTAATACTAATTTTCGAATATTATTCAAAGTTGATTTATTACTTGTATAGTAAGACTCCAGATAATTATAAATCAATTAAGGTAGAATCTTGTGTAAAAATACCCTGGAGATTTTTAAAAGTAGTGTTTTTTGTCCCAGCTGAATTGGTATATTTCTCCTGGGCAAAAATTCCTTCTAGAGTAAGCTTTCTTCTCATTATTGATCACCGTGTGAGCACCGGAAATGAAACCTCATTAGTGTATTAGTGTGTGGGACACGTTATCGCTGTGTGCGTCATCGTATGCCTGCATGTCTGCTCGCCAGGATTGGGAGGTGCGGCCCTACAACTCTGTGTGCAGCGACCGTACAAACAGTGACCAATCATCAACCTCTGTTTAACCTAATCCCCCATCCTGATCATTTATTTATTTATTTATTACAAATGGCAGGCGTTTTGATAGTTATCATTAGCCCTTTAGTTGACTTTGGGCTTCACAGAGGGGAGGAGAAATATCAAAATGAGAATTCGAGAGGAAGAACGGAAGAGTGATTCACAGATGTAAAAGAAACAGACACCA